GTTTCTTTATCATCATGTGTGCAAGCTTGCTGATACATTTCTTACATCAAAGTGTTAATGCTGTGTAGCTACGTGGTTATATTTTGTTTTATGCGTATTTCCTCTGTGCTCTTGCTGGAAGATTTATTATCATGAGATTCAGGCAGCAGTTCAGGGGTGTATGAGTGTATTATGTCATGGGTGACTTCTGACATTTACGTCACTCCACCACTTTGGAGATTTCAGCAAGAAATGTCAAAATTGCCTTGTGGTCTTTCAGAAAATGGACGTGCCATTTCACTTAAGATATAATAAACAATCAAATGGGCAAGATCGATAAAATAAAAAAAATAGCCACATCTGGTTCAGTTTCGCCATAGGTTTCAATGATAAATCCCATATTTATCTACAAAGTTAATCCCTCAAGCAATGTTTATGATTTGATGAAGGATCATGGGTCATATTGTCCTGAAAATTCTATTGTAAGAACAGAATTGCAATCTTCATTCAGACCATGAATAACAGATGCATAGATATAGTTACATATTTGCTTTCAGCTGGTCTAGTCAACCAGAAAAATTCCATCAGTCACATCTAGAACAGGGAGTGGCATGGTGACGCAGTGGTTAGCACTGTCGCCTTGGACCTGGGTTCGAGTCTCTGCTATGATTCCATGTGTGTGGAGTTCTGTTCTCCCTGTGTCATTGTGGGGTTTCCCCCCCACAGTCCAAAAACATGCTGAAGCTAATTGGAGTTAACAAGTTCCCCATAGGTATGCATGTGTGTGTGGCTGGTGTGTGAGTGTGCCCTGTGATGGGTTGGCATCCCATCCTGGGTTGTTCCTTGGCTCTAGAATAGTCTCCAGACCCCCCACAACCCTTGACAGGCTAAGGGGTTTCAGAAAATGACCAGCATTTGATATGTGTTTCTTAATGAAACTCAGCCATTCTGTGTGTCTGTGGGCATTCAGTGCCTTTTAATTTAACAGCTCAATAAAACCACAATTAATATCAGAGTCAAGATATCCTCTTTGGTGTCCGCTTTTCATTTCATCGACCATTGTCTTTCGATTTATATGCAGATCATGTGCACTGACCTGCTGTCATTTTTGTCACGATTAATATACAACAAATGTGCCTTGTAAATTTTGAGAAGCACATAGGAGAGAGTTTTATTATCACATGTACAGAGTACAGTGCACAAAGCACAATGAAATTCTTACTTGAAATAACTTTCCTTTTAAAACAACAATTGAACCTTCAGAATAGCCAAGCTGATTTGTTCCAAAAGGGACAACAGGTGAGCTCAAAAGCCAATCACAAGGCTCACCTTAGAGCTCCTCTCTGCCACGTCACCAATCATTCCACTGTTGACAGCTTATATTAATCACAGAGCAATCTGTAAACAAAGATACAGTATGTTCGCCATGACAAGTCCTTTGAGCAAAAGATACCATCACCATGTCCCTTCATATCCCACTCCTCATCCCAGTCTCCTGGATCTATATTTCCTGACAGGATTAATGATGGTTTTTATATAAAGCTTTCAGCTGCCGCTCTCGGGCATCTCGATCTTTCCAGCCATGCCAGCCATGTGTCTGCTGTTCCACCCTCCGAGCTCCCCCCAGGCACCACAGTCAGCTGTGCACTTTATGTTATTTCATTTTTGTTGTCATTGTATTTTTTTTGTTATTGTTCATTTTGTTGTTTATTATGCTTATTTGCCCTGTGCTCTCAGGATAGGCATTATGGGGGGGGGGGCGTTGTACCCCCCCAGTGTCAGTCACTAAGGACATCGTCTTTTATTTTATATTTTAATTTAATTTGAAACACGGGGACATGGCTACTGCTTACCTAATGCTCTCCTCCTCCCAAATCGACAAGTCAACTTTTTGTGTGTGTGTGTGTGTGTGTGTGTGCAGTCTGCCATCTGACCCATTGCATGCTGGGATACCTGCAATATTCCTCCTTAGCTTCTTCTGCTGGACACCCAGCCGGGGTAACGGAAGCAATACATAAGTCTAATGATATCAGTACAGAGCCCCTCCCTCACCAAAACCCCAACTATGGCTAATCATGACAGCCCAAGGCAACCGATCAGACTATCGGCAGTCTCCTGCAAGAGATCGGACTATCGGCGGTCCCCTGCAACAGTTCAGACTATCGACGGTCCCCTGCAGCAGATCAGACTATCGGATGTCCCCTGCAACAGTTCGGACTATCAACGGTCCCCTGCAGCAGATCGGACTATCGGAGGTCCCCTGCAACAGTTTGGACTATCAACGGTCCCCTGCAACAGATCGGACTATCGGCGGTCCCCTGCAACAGTTCAGACTATCGACGGTCCCCTGCAGCAGATCGGACTATCGGAGGTCCCCTGCAACAGTTTGGACTATCAACGGTGCCCTACAGCAGATCGGACTATCGGTGGTCCCCTGCAACAGATCGGACTATCGGCGGTCCCCTGCAGCAAATCGGACTATCGGCGGTCCCCTGTGGCTCAGGCAGACAAAAGTCGTCTTCAGTTTCTCATTCCACTAGAAGTCTGGCGGACTGAATGTGGTGTGAATGAGAACTGCACACCCACACACTCACCCTAATCCCTTCCTTGTGCAAGCCCACCACTCCCCCACAAAAGTCCTGTTATGGTAATAGGCACGGGCAAAGGATCTGGCTGGGAGAGCCTATCCAAAGCATGTACACAGGCCATAATGGAGTGATGACTGTTGTGATTGCAGGACGCAGCAGTGTGTCCCCCCCAGCAGCTTCCATTGCATGTGAGCAGCCCCCCACTGCTCCTGGAAAAGGTGGCACAAAAATCACCTGCTCCCTCAACCCCGTCCGGTAGGCTAAGACCGTTGGAGCATCCCTTTCTGTGGCCGAAGGACCAAGAATAGAAAAAGAAATATTCACTTGCCCATTGCTTCATTGCAACATCAGTGGGATATTCTGAATAATATGATGTATCAAAAAACATCAAATCCAGTGTTTGAAGAGTAATGGAGGGTGCATCTCTTAAAACACAAACTTGGAAGTCTTTCAAATATTCATTTCTCTCAACGTCACTAACGGAACAGTCCCAAAGTGTCTCTCCACACTCGGTGGTCTTGGCCAATTTCGTTAATTAGGCTGCCCTAGATTTATCATCTCTGCTACAGCTAGCTGATGAGAAGTGCTGCTGGTGTGATATACACCGTCAACAGGCTACTCAGTCACGACTTTCGAGAAAAAGGCACCTTCTACCGCAATACATAAATACAGGAATCAGAATGATAAAGCCACTCAGGGAAAAAAAACAATGAATGTGTGGGATAAGAATATTTCCTCCTCTAATGGATAAAATAACAGTGATATTTATGTTATGTTACTGACGATGAACATGCTAAGAGATCTTTTTGGAAATGTCACCGTTTTATCATTTTTGTAAAAAGCATACCTCCTAAGGAGATAGATGGGCCTGATAATGCAGAAATTACCGAGAAGTCGTGCTCTTTCTGAGCTTTCAAGGCACAGTGACCCTCCTGCCCCCAGTAATCGAGGATTTATTCAATGAGTCATTCTGTGAACTCAGTACCTGAAATAGAAGCTGTTCTGGATGAAATTCACAACCTGATTTCACACTTACCTTGGCCAGCTCTCCTTGTACATTCAATTCACATTGAAGTTATGATATGCATACGCATACGCACATGTGTGTGTTTCATAATTATTACATTTTGGAGACCAGATTTCCTCACGGTGTAATCAAAACCTGTAATCTATTACGTCATTGGGACATTTTTTTTTGGTCCCCATAAGGATAACCTCAATTTCATAATCATCTGTGGTTGCAATCAAAAAAGTAAAAATGCCAAAAGTCTTGTATTTTGTTTGGTTACTTATGGTTAAGGTTAGGGCTAAGTAGGGGTTAAGGTTGCCATTTTGGGATTAGAGTTTTCCCCATAGAAATGAATGGATAGTCCCCACAAAGATATGAATATGTCAATATATGATATGGCTCTGTGTGTGTGTGTGTGTGTGTGTGTGTGTGTGTGTGTGTGTGTGTGTGTGTGTGTGTGAAATGTAATCACATGCATTTGTCTGATCTGGTGATTGCCAGGCTGGTAGGTGATGAAATAAGCTACAATAGCAAAAAATATTAATATTATCTGAGGGACATTTTAGCACCAAGTGAAGGGTCTTGTTGATCAGGTGTTGCAAAAGGACCGGTGGCAGCTGAGGATACTGGATTGATTGTTTTAAATGTCTTCCTCTTCTTTATAAGTCTGGATCCTAGAAAATGCACTGTAGTACTTACTGAGCACTATAATTTGTTCTGCCTTTTTGGCAAAACTGAAATCCATAACTCTACAGCAGTATAACAAATTTCCTTTGATACTCAGTTAACTTTTTAGAGTAAGTGGAGCCAATTACAGTATGAGGGCTTCTGCACCACTGTCTACAAACACCATTTTAAAATGTCCTGGCTGTGTTGCAAGCATAGTCAAGGACAGTCCTGTTGCGGATGATTTTGTTCCTGATCCAAAGTCAGGTAATGTGTGCTTCCGTATCATTCTGAAATCCTTCTAGACCAATTTAGATATGAAGTTCCCTTACACTAATCCACATTGCTTGATCTCCTAACTCACATGATTGTTTACTAAAGTGTGCTAGGTGCAGGCATTTAAAAATATTTATTACATTCACTTTGGAGATCATTTATAATAATCACTGCAAATGAATCATTATTCTATTAAATACTTTGGTTAGTCATATCCTATAATGTCCCCATGTATGAAAGAACCTAACATCCAAGAGATGTGACCAATGATGTCGGGTGATGAACAGCCTTTACTGTCTGACATTAATCTGTCACTGTCTTCACACTGACCGTGGAAATGCGTTTGGAAAATATATGTCAAAAAAGTAGCAAAACAGCAGTTACTGTATTGGCTCTGTAACGTAAATGTGCACCATAAATTAACTGAATGGTAAGAGAAAAAAGAATTTCATTTTACAAAAATAAATTGTCAAAGATTCATGCTGGTTCTTCTGTTTATTTTATTTTATTTGATAATGCAGGTTTATTTGACTCTTAGTTATAAGTATGTACGAGTATGGTTTTGATTTATTTATGCTTTTGACAATTATTAGTAAATTCAAAGACACCCAAGAAAACTGACATCTCAATTCAATTTTTTAAGAAAAAACCTTAGGAAAAAAGCAATAATTTGTGAAGAAATATTCAATTTCACCTAAAGTGGTGATTAAAATTTATGTTAAAAAAACAACCTGTGATGTTATTACAAGGCCAAAATGTTTTTGTTTTTTTTTCCAAAACAGCCCTACCTCCAGTCCATGGATGTATTAATATGAGGGGAGAACATCTGGCTACATGTTATATATTAACACTATACAGTATTGTCTCTGATGTACTGATTCACCTGTTCAGGGTTAGCAAGTTACCAGCCACAAATGTTCTCCTGAACTACAGCATTTGCAATTGTACACAGATTGGCACCTGCAAGATAAATTCCCTAATAGACTTCAAAGTTAGTTTAATTCAGAAATAGGAGCGTGTTCTCCAAAACAAGATTTGCTATAACTGTTCTCTAAAGCTTATAAGGCTTAGATATATACAAATACATGGACTTAACCATACCTGTAAGAGAACAGCAGCATATGAATAGATCAATGGAGTTGTTAAGCTACTTTGAGTTGCCCATGCAGCTCAAGGGATGCACCTTCTGGGCCGAGTCTTCTAGGAGTGGTAAGTAAGTGTCACACATGCTATTGTCCGACACTCCCGTCACAGTACTGGGCTTCAGCGCTTTCTGTAATGCCTTGGGCAGGGCACCTTCACCTTCCTGCAGCACCATCAGCTCCAGCTCGTGCTTGGTGGCAGTCTCCAGGATCTTCTGCTTGTTGTAAAACGTGACGAAGTTGTTGATTATCGGGTGGATCGGCAGCGCTATGGCGATCAGCCCACAGAGGAAGCTGACAGCGGCACTGCAACGCCCTAAAGTGGTCTTGGGGTAGATGTCTCCATAGCCTACTGTTGTCATGGTAATGATAGCCCACCAGAAGGATTGTGGGATACTGTGGAACATAGTCTCCGGGTGACTCTGTTCCATGGTGTACCCCAGCGCAGAAAACACAAAGATACCCACACCCAGATACATGAGTAACAGTCCTAACTCAGAAAAGCTGCTCTTCAATGCGTAGGTGAGAGTCTTGAGGCCAGAAGAATGGCGTGCTAACTTGAAAATGCGTACGATACGCATGATGCGCAGGGCCTGCACTGCCTGCTGCACATTACCCAGCCTCATAACAGCCGTGCCGAGACTCATCAAGACCAACGCTACGTAGAACGGCACGATGGCGAGAAGATCCACCATGTTCATGAAGGACAGGATGAATGACGCCTTCTTCGGGGAGGAGACCAGACGCACCAAGTACTCTACGGTGAACCAACAGATGCAAGCGGTTTCGATAGCGTCCAACGTTGGATGCTCCACATGGTTCCCTTCGTCGTCCTCCACCTGCAGGTCTGAGATGGTTCCCAGGCACATTACCACCGTGGAGAGGAGGGTAAAGAGGAAAGACACAATAGCAACAGCACGTGCCAACTTGGAGGAATCTGGCTTCTCCATCAGCTTCCAAAGGGACTTTCTGTACCTCTGCCAGTGGCTGATAGAGGAGTCACCCTCCATATCGTCCAGAATCAGCTTCACTCTTGCCCTGATTTCTGCTTGCTCCTGTTCCACCTCGCTCAGATGACTCTTACAGCATTCATCTAGGTAATCCGGGTCGACTTTCCAGAATTCCATCTCCTTTATAAAGCAAATGGGGCAGATGCCTCGTTTTATATGAATTTCACCATAAAAGTACAGCTCCACGATGCATTTGAAAGAGTCTGGATCTCTGTCAAAATAAAACTCGCCATTGCTGGGGTCGTAGTCGTCGCAGAGGGCGAACAAATCCTCCAGACTACGCGAGGAGTACTTTCCCAACTCCGCCAGCCGGGTATCTGGAAACAGGTTCAGGACGGTCCCAGAAAGTACCCGTTTCACTCCGCCTATGTTCACAACAATTTCGTTATCCTCGATCGCTTCTGAGCCGCTACAGCTACTATAGCGGGTCTTAGGGGTTGCCCACATTTTAATTAACTAATATGTTGAATGCAATTAATATTAAATATAAGAGGAGAAAAAAAACCGGTAAGGTACTTCCCTGTTTCAGTTTATATTCTGGTAAAATAATCCAAAGGTCAATAAGAACATCATAGATATATTTAAATTATATGTATAATTTGAAAAGCATCTATTCAACCGAAGAAATAACGAAGGGAAATAAAACGTTTTTTGCATGGATAGAAAAGAAACCAAATTTAAACCGAGAACCTACTCACGACATGTCGTCGCACTGTGTGGGCATCTTGGTTGCGGGTGACAGTCAGGCGGCTCTTACTGCGTCCCGTCCGCCCCTCCTAAGTTTATATAGGCACGGATACGCTGGTCAAGCCTCGCCGCTTACGTGTCACATCCATCAATCTGCTGGCAGTGAAGGAGAGACTTTTTCCAAAGTTTCATGAGTTGGGCAATTAGCCGGTTCTGCTGAACAGTGAAGTAAAAGATCGGTTTTTAAAGTTTTTTCCCCACGTTAAACACAGCCAGTGAAGCGAGTTTTGAGACGCAAGATAATTGAGTCGGCGAGTGACTGCGGTACTTATATTGGTAGGCTATATAAAACCCCTATAGAACAGCTACTATTTCGTGTGGCATTGCTTTATGTATCACCCAAGATCCATCGTTTTTTCAATCTTGAATTTAGCTAATTATAAAATTATTAGAGTATAACTTTTATGTTGACTGACATGATGAAAACCTTAGCTTTCACAAAATGTATTGATATCCCAGAATAGTTTCGTATAGTTAGGGTGACCAGATAATCCATTTCAGGGAGGACACTTTAATTGAGCTACTTCGGGTTTTACAAACTACTTTCAAATTAAAAGGATTCTCTGTTTGGCTAAATAGTTCAGCTCATCTTGTGCTTTGACTGGTTTGTTTCTTTGATTGAAAGACTCATCCAGCTGGTTCACATTGACATTAGTGGCACATGCATGATTATAGGAGACTGACCAATCAGCACACAGCAAGAACTCAGTGCTCAAGTGAAATCCAGGTCTGTTTAATTGAAATGGTAATTTACAGTTCCTGTCCTAGCTGAGAGTGTCCTCCCTGACATGGATTATCTGGTCACCCTACGTATAGTTATCTAGAAGTTGTGTTTTATGTTATTTGAAATGCGCAGTTCACAAGATGTGTCGGGGTAATGGAACGACGTCTCCCTCTTGTGGTTGACGTGCGACAGCGCAATGGATAAAAATATAAGGAGCCCATCATTCAGATTACGTCAGGCACTTATCACCTGAGGTAAATGGTCCACCGAAAGAGGTCAAAAGATATATGCGGAATATGACCATGATCAGAGCTACTAAAATGTCTCAGTATTGACCCAGTTCCAATAGTGTGGGACCTGGGTGTAAGTTCATTACCTTTTTAATTATGCCTTCAGATCACGTAGAAGTGAAAATATGTCAATTCAAAATTAGAATTTAATCTTCATCTTAGGCAATACAAATAACATTGTGTTTTTGGGGAGTGAGGGTCAGAATGCACAGGATTCTTTACATGTTATGGTAGTATCATGGTAGTTTGTTTTAATATATCTTAATAATAATTATGAAAGTGATAACTCAAAAAGTATTTGACAGATCTTATTAGCACTTCAGAAGAACATTATACAGAACACGATCTATAACTTTCATTTTCAGACAAATTTGCACCAAAATTGAAGCAGCAGCACTAGGTGGCAGCAAAGGGAGGAATGGGCAGCTGAAGATAACACCTACTGTTTGCAACGCCTCGGCTACCTGTGGTATGTTTATGGTCTGCCCGCCCGTCTGCCTGCGAGGCCTCGGCTACCTGTGGTATGTTTAGTGCTGTAGTTCTCGAGACCGTCTCAAGACTGGTCTCGAGACCAATTTTTTGTGGTCTCGGTCTTGTCATGGTCTCTTCTCTATTTGGTCTTGGTCTTGTCTTGGTCTCGACTCTATTTGGTCTCGGTCTTGTCTTGGTCTCGACTCTATTTGGTCTCGGTCTTGTCTTGGTCTCGGACATAGCGGTCTCGATGGGGTGGGGAAAAAAAGAGAAAACAGCACATCCTCACAGAACAGTATAATTATTTATTATGCACCTCAATTCAAATGCAACCAGTCAGATCCATCTATTTTAAAAATGTTACATTTTATACATTTTCTCAACGAACACTGCCAGTGTTTCACAGTCCACACACATCATACACATTGCATCATAGCGAAATCGGCAAAGAAATGTCCGCGAAGTCTATAGTATAGTTATAATTCAAATAAATTAGGTATTTTACATTCATTAGACAGCACAGTCTTGGAGGTGCAAGTCAATCTGGAGGCTCATTCTCTTCAATTCAAAGCAAGGGATCATTACATAGCTGTATTCATAGCTTACCCGAGGCCTCTGTCCCTGGTATAAGAGACTTAATATGAACATCTTTCTGGTACATCCAAACTCTTTCCCTTGATGAGGTCTGATAAAATGGTTATAGGAGAGGATTGCTGAGAATTTTATTTTCCATCAGGCCTCGTAACTATGACAAATCTGGGAGATTTNGCGCTGCCCGCCCGGCTGGCGGTGAACTGACGTTGGAATGGCTGTTAACCGCGTTCAGAAACCACTGCAATCCGGCGCCGAACGAAACAGTAGAAAGGTACAAATTTTTCTCCAGAAATCAGAACTCAGGTGAAATGACTGATAAGTATATTACTGATTTGAAAGTGCTGGCAGACACGTGCAATTTTGGATCGGCTAAAGATTCTCTGATTAGAGATCGAATTGTATGTGGCATACTGAACTCACACGTGAGAGAACGTCTATTAAGAGAGTCAGACCTGACGCTTGAGAAATGCGTAAGGATTTGTAGAGCATCAGAACTGTCAAAGGAAAATGTTATGACCATCGAGGGACAGAAAGCTGAAGAAGTGCACACAGTACAGAGAATCAAACACGGTCAAAGTGCCAAACAATCTCCTACATCTAAGTGTAAATTCTGTGGAAAACAGCATGAGTGGAAAAAACTGAGTTGCCCAGCTTATGGAAAGCAATGCAGAAAATGTGGCAAGCTGAACCATTTTGCTGCCACATGCAAAACAAAAGAGATTAAAGGAAAAGGAATACACAGTGTAGCAGAAATAGAAGAGGAACAGTTTCAGGAAATCCTAAGCCTTAGTTCGCAAATGAGGGAGGACAAACAGGAAAAACAACTGTTTGCAACCATGTTGATAGGAGAAAGACCAGTAAAATTTCAACTAGACTGCGGAGCCAGTTGCAACGTAATCCCCATTCAGCAGTTAAACCCTGACACAGTGATGGAAAAGACCGAACAGATTCTGGTCATGTATAATAAGAGTACCCTGAAACCAGTAGGAAAATGCAGAATAAAAATAAGAAACCCGAGAAACAGAAAACTGTACCGGCTGGTGTTTATAGTAGTGGAGGAAACCTCGTCAGTGCCCCTGCTGGGAAACAAGGCAGTGCAAGCAATGGATCTGGTGAGAATACAGCATGAAAATATAATGGCAATTGATGGTATTGTTACCACAGAAAGACGCAGAGAAAAGGAACCATGGGACAAGAGCGACATCGATAGGGAGTATGCTGATGTATTTGAAGGAGATGGATGCCTGGAAGGGGAATATAGCCTAGAGGTGGATCCTGCAGTGAAATCGGTGAGGCTTCCAAAGCGAAGAGTTCCTGTGGCACTAATGAGACATCTAAAAGATGAGCTGGGAAGCCTTGTAGAGAGAGGCATTATTGCTCAGGTGGAAAAGAGCACGGATTGGATTAGCAGCATGGTGGTGGTGAAGAAACCATCTGGAAAACTCAGAATTTGTATTGACCCTAGACCATTAAACAAAGCTCTGAGACGTCAACATTTTCCCTTGCCTACCATAGATGATGTTCTTCCCGATCTGACTAAAGCGAGAGTCTTTACGGTGTGTGACGTGAAGGACGGGTTCTGGCACGTAAGGCTTTCAGAAGAGTCAAGCTACCTCACTACCTTCGCAACGCCATGTGGCAGGTATAGATGGATTAGAATGCCCATGGGAATCAGCCCGGCTCCAGAAGTGTTCCAGCACAGGCTGACTCAGGCATTGGAGGGGCTTCCAGGAATTCGGATAATAGCAGATGACATCCTTGTCTGTGGGGAAGGCGACAATGATGGGGCAGCTGAGAAAGACCATGACACAAAACTAAGACAACTCCTGGACCGTTGTAGAGACAGAAACATCAAACTAAACTTCAACAAACTCAAGCTAAGACAGAAAGAGGTGCCATACATTGGACACAGACTGACTTCCGAAGGACTAAAGATTGACCCAGAGAAGGTTAGAGCCATATTGGAGATGCCCAGGCCATCAGATGTGAAGGGACTCCAGAGATTATTAGGTATGGTGAACTATTTGTCCAAATTTTGTGCACACTTATCAGACAGCTGTGACACATTGAGACAACTGACACGCAAAGATGTGATTTGGGAGTGGACTGATGTACAGGAAGACGCATTCAACAAATTGAAACAAATGATTGCCTCAGCACCTGTCTTGAAGTACTACAATCCAGATGATGACCTGGTTCTTCAATGTGACTCCTCTGAGACAGGCCTGGGCGCAGCACTTTTGCAGGCAGGACAACCAGTCGCTTATAGCAGCAGAGCCCTTACAGCCACAGAAAAAGGATATGCACAAATAGAAAAAGAATGCCTGGCAATTCTTTTTGGAATGGAGAAATTTCATCAGTACACCTATGGCAGGAAAGTAGAAGTACATACTGACCACAAACCCCTAGAAACCATCGTAAGAAAGCCATTGCTTAATGCACCCAAGAGATTACAGAGAATGCTTTTGAGACTACAACGATATGACATTAATGTTGTCTATGTGCCAGGTCGACTGATGCACCTAGCAGATACTCTTAGTAGAGCGTACCTACCAGAGTGTGCTGCAGAAGGATCCGTAGAGTCAGAAATTGAGACAATAAACATGTTGCAGTACCTGCCCTTATCAGAGGGGATTCAACAAAAGATACGGAGAGAAACTGCTAAGGATGAGACATTTCAGATGTTGCAGCAAGTGATAGCTCAGGGATGGCCAGAGGAGAAAACTCAGCTGAAAGAAGAGGTAAGACAATTCTTTTCCATAAGAGAAGAGCTCGGTGAGCAAGATGGAGTGCTTTTTAGAGGAGAGAGAGCTCTAATACCAGCGAAACTGAGAACGGAGATTATGGAGAGAATACATGCATCACATCTAGGCATAGAAAGCTGCTTACGAAGAGCAAGAGACTGTGTATACTGGCCAGGGATGAGTGCTGCTGTTAGACAATACATAGGGAAGTGTGCTGTTTGCAGAACTGTGGATGTGCGACAGCAGAAAGAGACAATGTGCGCACATGACATTCCGACAAGGCCTTGGGCAAAAGTCGGGACAGATTTATTCTTATTTAACGGCAGAGCATATCTCATCACAGTTGACTACTTCTCCAACTTCTGGGAAATTGATTATCTCCCTGATACCAGCTCAAGCACAGTGATACACAAGCTCAAGGCCCATTTTGCACGACACGGGATCCCAGACACAGTAATCTCTGATAACGGGCCACAGTACAGCTCTCAGGAATTCAAACAGTTTAGCATAGCTTGGGAATTCGGGCATGTGACGTCATCTCCAGCATATCCGCAAAGCAACGGCAAAGCCGAGTCTGCAGTTAAGACGGCCAAACAGCTCATGGAAAAAGCTAAGAGAGCAAAAGCTGATCCATACCTGGCTATACTAGAGCACAGGAACACTCCATCTCAGGGATTCAATGCCTGTCCTGCCCAAAGACTCATGAGCAGAAGAACCAAAACACTACTGCCGACACGGGACAGCCTCCTGCAGCCAGGTGTTGTAAACACAGAGCACGCTGTGAAAGTCAACCAACAAAAACAAGCCTACTACTACAACAGAGGAGCGAAAGATCTTAGACCTCTGCAGTAGGGCGACCAAGTAAGAGTTCAGCTGGACACGAAACGTGGAGCACACTGGACACCGGCAAGAGTGGAAAGAATGACCAATAACCGATCATACACTGTCAAGCTGGACAATGGAAGTGTTGTACGGAGAAATCGGAAACATCTCAGGACTGTGCCTGGAGGACCACAGAGGGCAGACACACGGAACACAACTGTCAAGCTGGATCAGACTAATCATCCAGATGAGGGACATTCAAAGACAGTACCAGAGTCACGCATAACACGCACACACCATTTAGACAACAGCAACAGCGTTGTGATAACTAGGAGTGGCAGAATGGTTAAGAGACCAACACACTTGAGAGATTTTGTTTAAATATGTTTCATTGTTCTTAAGACACTGAAGTGCAATTTTGCGTATACAGTGTTATGTTGTTGTGCACAAGTTGTAATGTTATATTGTTTCTTGCATACACTGCACATACTACAGTGTATAAATTGTAAAAAAAAAAAAAAACAGGAAAGATGTTACAATATGTTATGTATGGTCAGCAGGATGTAAGGATGTGACAGACCATATATGGTTAAATTGGAATTTGAGTGCGTGACATCATAGAGATGCGCGAGCACGTGAAGTAAAAGAAAAGTACAGCAAACCTGCGTTTCTTGAGATTTCTTGTTTAGGGGGAATAGTTGATTACCAGAGTGAACTAAGCTTAAAACAGG